TCCTGATGAAAAATCTGTAAAAACGAAACTTGTTACTTTAAGAACTTTTATCTGTTGAACTTAATGCATTTGATACTCAAATATTAAATTCGAAATTTTCTTGAAATGATCAGTTTGAAAGTGAATGGGCGAAAGTTGAAGAATACAAAGAAAAATTAGATTTAATACGAGTAAAAACGGAATTATTCTTCAATCGCCAGATGATACAGTCTACTAGCAGTTGTCCGCCGAATTCGAACAAACGGAAACTGAAATTACCTAAATAGAGTTAAAACAATTCGGTGGCGAAATTAAAGATTGGTTACCGTTTTGGGGGACAATTTCGGCGAATACATGAAGATAAAGAAATTCAAAACGAGGATAAGATGCATTATCTCGTTCAAGCGACCGTACCCGGTACGAGACCACGGTGATATTGTTGTAAATAGCTTCCCTGCAACTGCCGAAAATTATGAAAAAGTTATAGAAAGCTTAAAAAATAGGTTCGGCAGGGAAGAATTGTTGGTTAGAATTCTATATTCGGGAATTATTAGGTTTGATTATTAAAATGTCACTGATCAAAAGGGAAAATGCATTGAATCAGAATTGTATGACAAGTTAGAGTCGTACTTACGTTCGCTGGAGACAATAGGAATGACAAGCGATAAATACGCTGCAATGCTGTTTCCACTCGTGGGAATTTTGCATTCCCGAGGAAATTTTAAGAGTTTGGATTAGAAATCATGCATCAATAATTACAACAGAATGAAGTGGAAGGAGAGCAGAGAATTTCCTTGGGAAAAGCTGGATTTAAATTAATTGATTCGGGTGCCAAGAAAGAAAGTAGAAAAGATAAAAAAGTACCACAGAGTGAACATTTCGTGCCTACAGCAAATGATTTATTCTCAGGCCATAATAAAAGCAACCAATTATAGTGAGAAGAATTCTTGCATATTTTGTGAAAAAATTCATGAAAGTGAAAGTCGAGATTGCTTTGTTGCTCAGAAGATGCCTCTGAGTCAAAAGAATGATGAAATTAAGAAAAGAAGGGTTGCTTCTTCTGCCTCAAAATTGGACACAGGAGGCCAAGCAATGCAAGACAAATGTACGATGTTTGATATGCTCGAAAAGACATTGGGGTGTCATGTGTCCGGATTTGCCCACCAATCAAAAGAGCAATGATGTTGAAAATAAGAAGAGAGGAAACACAAAACGTATCACTTGCGAGCACTAATTTCCTAGATGAAAGTGTTTCTTCAAACACTATTAATTAATATAGACGCAAACAAAAGGCAGAAGACAGTAAGAGCACTTATCGATACAGGATCGCAACGTTCATACATATTAAAGAAGACTGCTGTAGACATAGGTTGCCACGCAATTGGATCTGAATCTTTAATTCATGTACTTTTTGGAGGAGTGACAACAAAGAGAAAAATTCACAAACGCTATGACGTGAACGTTAGAAGCCTGAAAGGTGATTTTTCTAGACGACTAATCTTGTTGGAAAAGTTGAATATTTGTAGACCAAAAGTCAGTTTACAGCCTGGACCATGGATAGAAGAGCAAAGAAAAATATCCATGCAATCTGATGTAGGAAAAAAGGATTTGAAAACAGAAATTCTTATTGAAGCTGACCTCGCAGGTGCTCTGTTAATCGGAAGAATTCAGAAATTAGAAAATGGGCTGATTGCTGTGGAATCACTACTTGGATGGACATCATGGGAAAGACAAAAGATAACGTTTCAGAAAGAAACTCCTTGTCCATGTCATCAAAAATAACGTCGATGTTGACTCACAACAGTGACATAGAAAACTTGTGGAAGCTAGAAGCACTGGGAATTACAGATTCTAAAGAAAATAAAACTCATTCAGAGTTAGAAGAAGCAGTGTAGGATCACTTTCACAAGACTCTGAAGAGGGTGGATGATCGATATGAAGTCAGTTTACCTTGGATGAACGATAAAGAAGCTTTACCACGTAACAGAGAAGTTGCTGAAAAACGATTGATTTTCAAGACAAAGAAGCTCATGTTGAAAGATGAATTTGAATTATACAATCCAGTGTTCGAAGAGTGGCTCGAATCTGGAGTAATAGAAGTAAGAGAAGAAGAGGAACGAGTTAACAATCATCATCTTTCCCACAGACCGGTCTTCAAATATAACTGTACAACAGCAGTAAGGCCTGTATTTGATGCTTCGTGCAAGCAAAAGGATTTCCTGTCAATTAATGACTGTTTAGCAAAAGGTCAAAATTTAATTGATTTAATACCTAGATTGCTTAAGTGCAGTATATTTGAGAAGTGAAAATAAAGAAGTCAAAAGTGACTCTAGTGCGAGCCAAAGCACGAGTGGTTCCCTTGAAAAAAATAAGTATACCACGACTTGAATTGCTTGCTTGTCTCATTGGGGTGCGATTAGCCTCATTTCTCAAGAAGAACCTTAAGGTATACATTTCAAAGGAATATTACTGGACCTGTTCTTCAATAGTACTATTCTGGATAAAGAACGTAGAAATTTGAAGCACTTTTGTGTATAACAGATTTTCAGAAATTAGAATCCTATCGGATCGTGAAAATTGGCATATGTACCAGGTGCGGAAAACCCAGTCGATATGCCATCAAGAGGATGTTCTGTGAAGAAACTCATTGAATCAAGATGGTGGGAGGGCTCACCTTGGCTGGCACTGCCGAAAGAAGAATGGCCTCCTATTCCAATCGATAATAAAGAAGAGGTTAATACTGAAAAACGTAAAGCAGGTTATAGTTTCGTTAAGCAATGTTAGCGATATGTATTCACAATTATTTGGCTATTTTTCAAAGTATAAGAAAATACTTAGAATGATTGGGTGGATACACAGATTCATAGGAAATACCCGAAAGAGGAAAGAAGAAAGGGAAGCAGGAGAGTTAAAAGTTTATGAATTGACAAGGGCTGAGAAATCTCTCGTGAAGATTATTCAACATGATTTTTTTCATCTGATGATATTAAGAAGCTGAAGTCAATAAGTGTGTTCAAAGATGACGAAGGCATTTTACGTGTCAGGTATAGGTTGACTGAAAGCAAAGACTTTGAAAATTTTATTTATCCGATGTTACTTCCGAAGAACCATAAGATTGTGGAGAAACTGATAATTGATAAACATCTATCTATGTCTCATTCACGTACTGAATTCACGTACTGATGTCAACACTTAGAGAGACGTTTCAATCCTGAAAAGCAGAGCTACGATTCGAAATGCTTTATATGCATGTGTCAGGTGCTGGAGACGTGGAGGTAAACGAATGCAGACTGTGCCTGCTACTCTACCAGACAACAGAGTTAGATATGCTCGTGTTTTCGAGATTGTCGGGATTTAGCTGGCCCATTAATTTTGAAGGATAAAAGAAAAGCTTGGATTTTACTTTTCACATGTGCTGTTTTCAGGGCGGTCCATTTGGAACTGATTTTGTCCCTTTCAACTCCTTTACTTGGCCTTAGAGGATTTATTGCTCGTAGAGGGAGGCCATCGATAATTTATAGCGACAAGGGAAGCAATTTTGTCGGATCCAATAATTTTCTTGAGATCGATTAATTGGAATACCATTGAGATAGAAGTCACCACAAACAAGATCGATTGGAAGTTCAGCCCACCCGCCGCACCATGAGGGGTGGCTTTTGGGAATATGTTGTTCAAATGATTAAAAAGCTTTTGCGTCAAGTCCTAGGCCAGTCGTGTCTGAATTATGAAGAATTGATGAGTGTGCTGTGCGACTGCGAAGCAACTGTGAATGCCAGACCACTCACATATGTGTCAGAGGACTCTGATGAACCGTCCTTGTTTTTAGGTGAAATTCCAGTCTTTGGATCCTGACTTGGATCACCTTGCTAAAGCTGATTTCAACAAGAGACTGAGACATCCACATAATCCACGAGAGCTCTTGATAAAAGTGATTTAGAAATGAATATCTCGGCCTGCTAGTGCAACGTCCATCTACAGGGCCAATTTCTCAACAGATAAAAGTCGGGGATATAGTTCTTATGAAATGTGATGACAAACGCAAGATGTGGCCTCTATCAAAAGTGATTGAACTATACCCGGAAACGACGGCAACATTCGAGTAGTTCGTGTCAAAACCATGTCTGGATAATTAGTTCGACCAATCCAGAGAATATTCCCTCTCGAAATACCTTCATCTTTAGAGTCAGATGAGGCAAATGAAACTGAGACGCTGGGTAAAAAACAGTTTAGTCCCAAAATTACCAAAGAATAATTCATCTGCAGGTTTATCAAAGAACATTAAGACTGTCGTGACTAGAAGTGCACGAGAAATTAAAATTTCATCTAGATTTCTAACCTGAACACTACTTGAGTTATTTTAGAGTAGAAATTTAAGAACTTAATTTGTTTCTTTTGTTTGCTATTTAACCTTAATATTTGTGTCGACAGTATTTTTTTATGTTTTGTTTTGATTGATTAAGTATATGTTATCAATCAAAAGGTGGGTTATCAAAAGGTGTTGTTAGAACCCAGCCTCAGTTGTTATTTCTTTTCATAGTTTGTCACTGTAAGAGTGGCAACCATGTGATCTTTGTTGTAGTTCTACGGATTTTGAAAATAAATATGACGCTGTGGAATTTTATATATAAAGTTATTTTATTTTAAATTTATTAAGAGAAGGGAGAACGGTTAGTTCTTGCAAATCTCGAACAATAATATTATCAGTAAATATCAGATTGCTCAAAATATCAGTTAGGCTACAGTAACAATAGTAATAATAATAAAAAGTCGTGAACTGAGAAAATCCTTTAATTAGTATGCTACCTAATTATTAATGAATAGACATGAATAAATTCGTATATATGTTTAAATTATAAGAAAATATTCTAGTGGTTGAGATAAAACAGCTCAAAGTTGCTGATTTTCACTTTATTCCACTGAGTGAAATGATTGAAACTTAACTGGCAAGACGCCAGAAGTACAAATTTAACACAAGCTTGGAACCTGAATTAATTAAAAAAAATGGGAAATAAAATCCTTACCAAACTGGATCCAGTTCTCCGGACAATTTCCTGAAGGTGGGGAAACAGTTGTAGGAGGTGGAACTGGGGTAGGTGTTACGTCAGCAGGTCGTTTACAGATTGGAGCATAATGCAAGGCGCAATGCTCTGGCCTCCAACCTCCTGAAAGAAGTCAATAATAATTAAACAAAGCGCAGTTTTACTTAGCATTCCCTCCTCAACGTGTTCATAAATTTCCTTTTGCGACCTTTATTTTCTCCAACATATAATAATAATAATAATAATATAGCATAATAACAACATAATAAATAAGCGTAAACAATAGATATATATTGGGTTGGTAACAAAGTAATTTCTGTTTTTTTGATGTGAAATCAAACTCAGTTTTTTTTAAACAAAAAGTGAACTTCGAAATAAATGATATTCCAAGGTGAAAGGTCAGATTATATAGGGGATGCCACATCTCTTCCCACCCAAGCTCCAATAATTTCGTTATGTGTTGCTAAGGGTGTGTAATGCCTCACATTGTCGTGGTGGAACACGATTCCTTTGCGATCTGCCAATTCTGTCATTTTTTCTTTGATTGTTTCCTCTAATTTCATAAGTCTTTTAAACATCTGAGTTCATCGTTTGGTTGCTTGGAAGCAGCTCAAAACCTTTGCAATCCCACCAAACTGACCGAATGATCATTTTCAGATGAAACTTAGATTGATTTCGATATTGTGATGATTCATCACGGTTGAACAACCGATCTTTTTCAATTAATGGTATTTTTTGGGCATAACTGCGTAACAGAAAGTTGCACGCGCAGCTCTCTGCTCAGAGGTTTTTATGAAATGAGAGTGTGCCATGAAAAACGAGCGAGAGTGAGTGCTAAGTAAAATCAAGGGTACTCGAGCGTGATCCGTCGTAGTTGTGGATAATATATAATGTTAGTGGTATATTATCCATAACTGTTAGTGGTATATCTATAATTTAAATAAAATATACCTCATTTGAATAACTGAATATAAATAAAAGGAATGGCTACAGTCAACTTGAGGATTTGTTAATTTAGACGTATGAATGAGCTAACAATGACAACGTTGGTCTTTAGTGCCAAAGGACAGGATAAAATTTCTGAAGTAAGTGAAACTTTTATGAATTCCAATTGTTTTGTTTGAGTAAACTAAGGAAAAGAGGCTATTAGGCTTATAGCCACAGAGTTAGGAGAAAGTGTATCTGAAAATGAAACAATTGTTGAATTAACTGAGTTGATCAAAAATAACAAATATTATCAAACGAATATTGAATTTGTGAAAGAATTAACAAATACAACGATTGAAGATATTAAAAAAATATGATGTGTTCACCACATGACTTCCTTTCACGGGATATTAAATTACACGCATTTTTTTTTTCATTTCATTTAAACGTATTGGATTGAATTAAATCTACTTTGTCGATAGCGCATAAACCACAATAGAATAAATGCACTCTTTAAAATTCACTATATTTGTTTACCACAAAACAAACAGCCACACTCTGGCGCTAGCTTCACTTAATAGCGTTACATTTCGTTCATATTATAAATCAGAATGCATATAAATTTATATTATTTGAAGAATTATCTAATCGTTGCCACGTGTTCTATTCAAATACTACAATAAATCTACAACGATGTATAAAAGAAATTAAGCAAACAAAACAAAAACATTTTTTTTTTTTACAAACAATACAGTATTTCTCATTCAATTAATTCAGTTTCCACTTCCCGACAAGGCAAAAATACATAAAAACTCAAAATATCTATATTAAAAATTACGAAGTAAATCTTAAACACTTATTTCCCTGAATAAATTCCAGAATGGATTAAACATGATTTAACTCGCAATAATAAAAGAAGGCGTTACCTTTGTTGTATAAATAACAAAAGAAGGCGTTACCTTAGTTTCACTATATTGGCAACAAATCCGCTATTATGCCAAGTTTGAAATGTAAACAAACATGTCTGCCATCGCAAAATTCATTAGGCTTAGCTGCACTCAAACAACTTTTAAATTGTTGACTACTCCATAAATATTGCATGCAGATTTACTAAAGGCATAAAAACCTTAATCGGAAGATAAGAACAACATAATTCAATCATTTTTAAAGCAAAAAATGCACAACTTACAAACATATAAGAGTAAAGAAACTGAAATTACTGAGCCGGTTAACAGAGTAGATATATATATATATATATGTTTTTGTCGAAATGTGGACTGTATGAGGCGATAATGTCTTTTAGTAGATTTTTTAAAACTGAACAATAATGTATGTAATACATTACTTAGAACCGAAGTTCTCGACAGTTGACACCGATGCGACTTGGTGTCTGCCGACGAACGAACTAACAATTTTCGAGCCTAGTTGGCGGCATTCAGTTTGAATTGTAAGATCACCAAGTTTGGCGCAATTACAGTTAAAGACAGCAACACTCTGCTCCCCGTTGAGTGATTTCATTCAACAAATAATATACAAGAAAATATAAATTCAGTTTATAACAACAAATACTTACTTTAAAAAATACATAATATTCTGTATTGGTTGTAAAACACAGCAATAAACATGTATGATAATGACATTACAATCAACTTAATATACTAAATACATGCTAAATAATACAAAAATATCAAGGTTTCTAAGTTCACACTATTTCTAAGTTCACAAGAATTCAGCTGTTTACATCAATATAGATAATTTTGTTACTGGTCGTTTCAACAGACCATTTGAAGTTCGAACTTTGATTACACTTATATTGCCATCAGTTCCAGAGAAAACCTCTACAATACAACCAAGGGACCATTTATTATTGGGTAAATGATCCTCTGGTTCTGGAATCGCTGTAATAGATCTAAAAATTAAAAAATGACCTGGAGTTAGAGCTTCAATACAATCGTCATCTGCCGGTAATGGAGTGATGGGCCTAGAATTTAATATACCTTCTATTTGAAGAGCCACTGTCAGAAATTCTTCATACGTAATTTTTGTTTCCCCTACGACACGTTTAAGGTGATATATAAATGATCTGACTCCTGCCTGAAGTCCTCCAAAAGTGGGAGATCTAGGAGGCATTTTACTTCTTCAAAAGTCAAGTAATTTCCTAAAGATTCATCTGGGTTCTTAACAGATTTCACAGATTATACAATTTAGTCAATTCTCTGCTAGCACCAACAAATTTTGTTGCATTGTCAGAAACTATAATCGAGTTTCTGCCCATACGAGAGAAGAATCTTTTTAATGCAGCAATGAAGGCATCAGATGACAAATCTGATACTAATTCAAAATGTGCTGCCTTAGTTACAAAACAAACAAAAATAGCAACATATATCTTTTGAAATTGTCCTTTTCGTTGATGTTTATATAAAATGGGCCGCAAAAATCGATCCCTGCGCAATTAAAGGGTGCACTTATTCTCAATCAGTTGCTGCTTTCCTTTAAGGTCAGAGGTTTAGTCTTCTTGACATTTGAAAACGTATTGTAGTTTCAGCAGTTTGCGTTTTAAAAAGGCCAGTCTCAGTGTTAGGCATTTGTATACTAATTCAAAGTTAGCTTTTAGTTAGTAGTTTTATATTTTTACGTTCAGATCACAAATGGTTGGTCTCTGTATCCCGAAGTACGGGAGCATCTGTAAAGTAATAGAGAATAAAGGGTTCAGTATAACCTTCCTGCTTGTGTCGTCCATTTCACACATACTGGAACATAGCTTTAGTAAGCTCTCTGTCCTATTCAGGATACGTTATGTTTCTCAAGGAAGTCAAAAGACATACAAGTCCTGACAGTGGCGCCCGAAGAAGAATAACCATGGCCGAGTTTCAAGAAGAATCTGAGGTGCCTGCAGCAACGGTTCAGAATCCAGAAATGCCAGCTGCCACCCTAGAAGGATTTGGATACATCGTCCAGATCATTCGCGCATCGATGAAACCAGCAGCAAGCTTTGACGGAAACTCACCGGTTGACCAATTTTTTCGGAAGAATTGGATGACCAATTCATGCTATATCCAGTACAAGAGTTCCAGAAAGTCACCTTAGCTACCAGCGCTTTGAGAGGCCAAGCGCTTAGTTGGTTCAAATGCATCATAAAAAAAATCTTTGGTAAAGTGAGAAGTCCCACCTACACTTAGGAAAATTTCAAGATCGCCTTAGTAAAGGCCTTCCCTGTCGTAAGAAATCGTGCCAAATTGGAGGCGGAACTCTTCAACACATACCAGCAACGAATTGAAAATCTCTCAAGCTTTATTTTAAGAAAAATACACGTCATAAAACTTTTGTATGGAAGCCGGCCGGATCCTGAAATAATCCAAGTAATTTTGCCTAGGTTACTTCCCCAAGTACAAGACTTCATTGAATTAAGGAATCTAACGACATTGGAAAAGTTATTTGAGCTCGCAATCCAGTTTGAAAGTAGAAGAACGGCGGACATTGAAAGAAGACGCCAGCACGAGCAACGAAGCCAATTTGGTGAGCCAAGACCACAGCAGAGGCAAGATCACGCGTACGGAAGCAAGTCGAATCAGTGATCAAAGAAACTCGAATATCCAAAGACAACCAGCGGACGTCGACAGTTCAATAAAAAGCCAGAAAAAAAGTTTGAAGGAGAGCGGAAAAAGAAGGAAGGCCTGGGAAAGAAGAAAGAAGATTTAAACTGAAACGGATTTCTGCTGATGGAAGGGTGCGGAAGTTCTAAGGCCAAGAAAATCCCTTTTCCTTCAAGCTCAATACAGTGATTGTGAAAAATTTGGTTCTTCCGAAGATTGAAGTATTGGTGAACAATATTCCAGCCACCACACTCCTGGATACAAGCGCGCAGTGTTCCTGTGTGGCAGAAGATTTTTTTAGAAAATACTTTCGTAAATATAGAATATATAATTCTGATAATACGACAATGTTAGCTACTACGCCAACATGGCGGATTGTGATGGTGACGAGTTCTATGCAGCTCTGGACAATGAGCTTCAAAAGGTGGAATCAGCCATCGTATCGAAATGCAATATGAATCGCAGATTCGTGATGATGCGAAGAAGGCTTTGGGTGAGATTAAAAGTTTGATTACTAGGTATGTTGAGCATGTTAAATCTGTAAATTTTCGTGAAGCTTGTAAAGAAAGCTTATTGAATTCAGTCATGCAAACGAAATAGTAT